AATTCATTGGTCACTTTTTGACGAAATCGTTCAAGTTTTTGAAAATATGTTGCCTGTGTATACTCATCATTGCGAGGCCATTGAGTCGAGCATCATACATGGTGATCCTCAACCAGGTTTTGATTCTCCTAAGGCTACTAAATGACCTTCCAACTGTACAAATCTTACAAGGTAAAGGCAACAAGGATCTTCAGAGCCTTCTCAACTTCAGGAGAAAAATATACTTTCGGAACTTCTTTGCTCAAAGTGAGCGTTATCATAAGTAATATCACGATATTCTTTATATTCGAGATAATTCTGTCGCCTCATTGTTCACGAAATTGTGTTGCTGAGCAACACCACGAGTCAGGACGAAAGGTAGGGCTGTACGGCAACACAATAGATTTGACAAGGAAATGAAGAATTATGAGAATATATTCAGAACAGAGTGGAGACTATTTCACGTTCACGAAGCAAAGAAGCATTTATTTTGAATGAATAATTCATTCTGACAAGTACAGTCATTATTTTTTGCCAAATTGACAGACTTCGCTTCGCTACCCATGGTTACATCGTTGTAAACATCTAGTTTTCGCGATAAGCACACGTTTTCTCTGGCTTGTGATTGGTCAGATTATGTGATGAATGAAATAGTCGTTTCAATGATAGCAGGGTGACTGGTGAGCGTTAATCGTAGGGGGGGCAGCTGCCCCATCCTGCCCCTCTCTGGCGACGCCCTTGAAACTGTATGGTCCTCAATCCAGCAAAGATCCAAGAAATCATTTATTTCTGAATGTTGAAAAATAATTGAGGTCTTTCAAGCCACCTCAACAAAATTTTTTATAATAGAGGTGGTTTCATGAAACATGAGAGGATTGAGGATTCTCAATTGCAGACTAACTGACTACCTGAATAAATACAACATACTTTCTAACAACCATTATGGATTCTGCACAGGACTCTCAACAAATGATGCTATAGCTGAGCTGACGAGAAAAAATTATAAGTCTGTAGATGAAGGAAAACCTGTCCTTTTTGTGTTATTCTTGGAAGTGTTGGAGGATACAGGAATACGTGGCATTTCATTGAATCTACTCAGAAGCTATTTATCGGATCGAAAACAGATAGTGAGAATCAATGGTGAATTCAGTAATTCTCAAAAGCTACAAATAGGAGATCCTCAAGGCACAGTACTTGGACCAACACTTTTCACGCTTTACATCAATAACCTATTTTCAGTGCAATCAACAGGAGAAATCATCAGTTTTGCCGATATAAATACGTAGTGATTAGCGATAATCCTTGTTATTTCTTATTGTATTTCTTTCATTTTTTTGTCTTAGAAATGTTGTTGTTTGTGTGCTAAATGTATATCATATCAATGGCACTATATAAATGATGAGCATGACTTCCATGCGCATCCATTAGGACCTAAATGGAAATGCTTCACATAACCTACAAATTGAGCCTTCATTTCTGATATCTAGGATATGACAATCAGCATTAGCGAATCCTATTATTTTTTCACGTTGTCTACATCCAAAATGAATGTACTTCCAAGCAAATCTCAGTGGATGGACATAACCACAAACAATCACACTTAGTGATTCGTGGTGTCATAGTTTATTTTCAAATATTTGTATTAATGTTGTTTTTTTGTGTTGTAAAAGGAAGAAGGAAAATAAACAAATTTATTATTATTATTATTCATTATAATTATATTATCATTACATTATAATTATTATGGAAGATAAAACGAGCCCACCTTGTTAGTGGCTTAGTGTAATGTAAATGTATTTATGAACACAGCTCTATCTTTTTTTATTTATAATGTAGTGATAATGTAATGATAATGAATGTTTTATATAAAACATGTTGTTTGCAACTCGTCGCGGAATACTATGATCATCTCGACTATGTTTTCAAACTCGGCTGCGCCTTGTTGGAAAAATCACTTCTTGATAACTAAAGTATAGCATTCCGCGCACTGGATACAAAAATTCCTATTGGGTGGCTCATTGTTGTTTATGTACCTCTAGTTTAGGTGAAATAATGGAGAAACATATCTCAAAACACCACAATAATGTAGAAAAAATCTATACAGAGAGGTGATGTCTGTATCTTCTGAATCATTCATTCATTCTGAAACATTCCGAAAATTGGTGGGTAGCAAGTATACCAAATTGCTCATGTATTGACAAAACCAATGTTGTCCTATCACTTCCGGTTTCACTGGCGTCACGATGCAATATCGAAACTTCTTTCTCTGTCACACTCATTGAGCATATGGAAACTTAGAAAGCGAATATCGTAATCGTTTGAAATAACCCTATATCAAACACGGTATCGTTGGATTCGTTATGATAATCCCTTACCGATTATGGTATACAATACAGGGTGTCCCATTTAAAAATCAAAAGTTGGGGTAGTTTCCGGTGAAACGTAGAAAAAAATGTGTTTTCTCAATTAATGAGCAATTTGCAATACTTGCTAACAATTGATTTTCAAATTACAATCTCGAATGATCCAAAAGTTACAGCACTGCATGATTTTTATGCACTTCTCTGTATACAGGGTGTCCCATAAGTCATGGATCAAAAGTATTGGGGTGGTAGGGCGAGTTATTTGCAATTGAAGTAACGGTATATTTGATTATCAAATTGTTGATGGTTCAGAAGTTCAATTCAATTTGTCTAAAAAACGTGACATATTCGAAAAGAATGATAACAAAATATTTAGTTATTCATGTACCAAAGGGACGAGAAACTGAAGATTTCAATTAAAACGTACCTACCTTTGAAACGATGCAATTGTATTTGATTCGAATATTTCACATCTTTGATGAAAAATCTGTCATGTTGTGTTTTTGATATTGCGACTTTCCATCTGTCCAATGGAATATTCCACTGCCTATTTTTCGATGTTCATCACTGCCGTTGGGAAAAAATACAAACAGATTTCGAAGTGGAAATATCAGCATGAAAAAACTGTATCTCCCAACTTGTGAAAAAGTAATTAAAACCCGAAACTTCATTGTTTTCAGAACTTTCAAATTCACTTTCCTAACGAAATCACAGCGACAAAATAACTCGAAGTTGAAGCATCCCCCTCAAAACTCGCTACACACTCAACTGCATTACCATAAACACCCCTGAAGCCCTTGTTTTCCATCCTCAAAAAGCTCTCATGGCCTTCTTTATTATTGAACAGGTGTGCCTAAATCGCACTCAGGTGTTTTGATGGTCTCACGTACGAGGGGAGATTTTTTCATGTCGTTCGCAAACGACCGTACAATAACGATTATAATAACGAGTGATAGAAACTGATAGATCACAAGACGAGTCACAAGATAATATACAATATACATACGAGAAACAATTTTACCAAAAATGGCCTTCATACAGTTACATTACGTAAATTCAAAATCTCATCGATCAAATTTATTCTGTGTCGCTCCTCTGTTCACAAAAATGTATTGTCACCGATTTTTTTTATAATTGCTATTCTTATTGGGAATTCATTGCCTAAGGAAGTATTCCCAAGAACTCATAACCTCCACAAGTTGAAAAAAATCAATACCTACCTCCTATCCCTTTCTTCCCTAGGTACACAAGATGTTATTTGAACATTATAGGGATTCCCTTTCCGGCGCTCCAAGAGATAAAAAAATGCAGCCGCACTTCTCAGAAAGTTCGGTACCCAGAAGCATGTCAACAAATTCATTGTGAAGGTGCGATATGCAGAGAAAAAAAAAAACAATTTAGAGAAACATTGCAAAAAAACAATAAATTGTGAAACATCATATTACCGCCCCAACCGCGTACAGGAAGACGGTATACAGGATGATTCAAGGGAAATTCCCTAAGAATTCCACAGGAATATTCCATTCAGCAATGGATGGAAAAAATCTCAAATGAACATGGTCCTAAAGCATTATTTCAACTCGACTGACAAAGAGCTGTCAAATATAACACAAAAAGAATGGTAGACAAACACTCTTCAAAGACTTCGAGGAGATATGATATAGTGATGCATGATGTGATCATAATATAATTGTTGTTTTTTGTTGTTCTAAAATTGTTCTCTCCGTCATTCGGTTGCCCCCTTACGAGTAACCCTCAGTCTGTGAAACACTCAGTATATTGAACAACAATACTCTATGTCTCATACTTGGGCAATAAATATTGGAAATCCTGTATTTCAATTAGAGGCGAATTTTCGAAAACGTCTCGAGTTAATACTCTAATATAAATAATGGATATCGAGAAGGCCGTTTCTGAATATACTGAATCGAATGGGACATGGTTTCAGTCACCATTTTTGATTTTTTTTACTGAAATGAGATTTTGTCCTATTTTCTCATCATCGTGTATATACCACAATAGTGCTTTTTTCGTCTTTTATTGTCCTCCACAAAACATGAGAACAGTTCTTCCCAATAGTCAGCTCAAGTGGAGTTCTATAGAGAAAAATTAAAGAAATGCAAGACTTTCGAAAAAAATACGATTTTTTGTTCCAATGGCCAATTCAGGAGAAATCACGAAAACGTCCCGAGATGAGGTCCCAGTGTATCATAATATGACTGACTTTTGATCAGAAACAATTTGTCGAGTTCGGGCAGCATTGGAAATGTAGACCATAGTGTAATGGTTCCACTTTACACCCTGTGTAAGTTTTGTTCTGCGGACGTTTCCAGAGTGATCTAGCTCTCTTTGAAGCCGCTGAAACATCACATCTGATATCGAAAACCGCATGAAGATCGGTCAATATTTTCAAAAAATACAGGTCTTCGAAATAGAGCCAAATTATGAGTGGTCGATTTAGTGTGTTGAGAACTGAATGTACCACCTCCTCGATTAACCTACAGACAGTATATGTATATACACTGTTGATGGCTTTTGTTGTGCTATAGTTCCGAAAAATGAGTCAACACAACCTGGAGCTGAAATCTACTACTTTTTTTCCTTGTGTAATGAATAACTATTTTTCATCAGATATTTCATGATCCAATTTTTTTTCAGGGTTCGCTAAGAATCCCCACCACACACCGACCACCGATCGCTGAGTGATGCACTCGACATCTAGCACGCCGACCAAATTCGATAATAACAATGATATCAAAAAGCAGCCAATCGAGAAAATGAGCGACTCCAGCAAATCCAGCTACCAGGCGATCAAATCCACCGAATCGTTGAGAGTACCCTCGAAAAAGAAATCGGCCTTCCACCTCAACAACCTCTGGTCGATATGGTACGGGGTGTTTTGCACTGGTCTGCAAGGGTACGCCGCCTACAAATGTCTGAAACGTATATTGGGTAAGTCGATCAGAAAAACATGCTCGAGAAATAATCTTGGCGTATACCACTCAGGAACTAGCGCGAGCAAGTGACAACATTTGAACTTGGTGGAGACTCTTTGTGAATACCACTCGTGGAGGCGATGATACGCTGAATGTGACGCTTCAGTAAATATCACAGCTCACAGCAGGATATAGGTTAATGTGGCATGAATTCTATGAATATATTCCAGATACAATCTGGAAAATTATTGTCCACGTTTGGTGGCACGCAAGCGATATTAAATTGTGTGTGCCTACTAGTATCGTGTTTTTTTTTGTTGAGTTATACAAGTGCACAAACCAATAAATGTTTACTTTTGAGTATATATTATTTGAATTTAGAAGTTTCTTCATATAATAAACCATTAACAATATTTTGGACAAAATTTGAAATACCTCTCTAAAGAGGTTTAACTTGAACCCTTATTTGATTAATTATTGTAAAGCATGCGATTCAAATTACGATTAGAATCATGTATACCTACTTAATTCGATTGATTCAAATCCTTTCTACCCTGAATATTTCAGTTGTGCGTATATATGATAATTTTAAGTTTTTAAGTCTATCCAAATGGAAAGCTGACCAATCGAAAGAAAAATACATTATTGTTCTTCCTGAGAAGTTTTTTCACTTTCACACGAGAGCTTTTTTTGTCGAAGTGAACTTGACATTTCAATGAGAATTATAAATTTAATATCAAGTTGATTACGACCCAAAAAAAGCTTGAGTGTAATTCGGTAAGACAATTTAATGAATGCGTAAATCAAATTATTGTTGACGCATTTTACAATTTCCCTACTCCAAATCGCGACATTTCTACAGAATATACATATAGTATTATTCTGACAACTCAAGATTGACATAAACGGCATCAAAAGGTGCGTTTTATTAGCAAGATTCTTCCACCGTGATGACAATTCATGTCGTTTTATTGAACGAAATTCTGAAACTGGTTCGAACTTTTCATTCCGTCTTCTCATACGGAATGACAGAGGGAGACGATTGTGGTGGGAGTGTATGAAATGGCGGAAATGCCGGTATTTCAGATACTCTGACCTCAAAATTTGACTTGAAAATTGCCTGAAAGTGAACTCGCCTCAGGAAATATTACGGAATTGTTCGCAATTCTACCCAGAATACTTTCAAACACTTCTGGACTCATCCTGAAATTACTTTTGAATGTTGATAAATCCATTTGCAGTATTACTTTATAATAATTTTGAATTTTCGGTATGATATTGCTAGAAAACCTGAATGTTTCAATATAAATTTAGTCAATTATTCCAGTAGATAACTTCAAGCGACTCATACAAGAACAAAATCCTTTCTTCTTCTTCTAACCGATGCACCTACTGAGAAGGATAACAAGGAAGCGGCAACAACATCCATTATAATTTATGATTATAATTATGACGCCACACTCACTCTTTGACATCATTGGAACACCATAGAAAGGTCGGCGACCTTTCACTTTTCTATCGGTACTTTCACGGGAAATGCTCTTCGGAAATCTCTGCTATCATCTCTTCACTAGCAATACCAATCAGACGAACTAGACAAGCCCAGTCAGCACATCCTTTCGTTGTCAACCTCGCGAACAGCACTTTATCAAGACTCCTTCATCCATAGAACGGCTAGGCTCTGGAATTCATTGCCTGTGGAAGTATTCCCAACAACATATAATCTCCAGAAATTAAAAAAAAAATCCAATACCTACCTCCTGTCCCTATCCTCCCTAGGAACGCACGATGTTCTTTGAACATAATAGGGATTCCCTTTCGTGCGCTCCAAGCGATAAAAAAAATGTACGGATTAACATCAAGATCCCGTAACTATATTATTATTAAATATCCCAAAAATGATCAGCTGACTGTTACAACACTAAAAATGAATCACATCGTTTTATTGGTCGTCAATATTACTGCCACCAGTGGGAAACCAAAAAAACGCACCTAACTGATTTGTTCACAATTCTGGTTGTCATGGATTCAAAAGCTAGGTTTCGTTTTGTCGCTGGAAAACTTATAGGACAAAGTTGTTTTGCTGCCATAATATCAAAATCACAGTATGGTATTTTTTATACATGAGTTAAATTGTCTTCCAAAAACACTCTCCACTGTGACTATGTATTTTTATAGTCCGCCTGGATATTCCTTTGCCAAATTATTGCAAACATACCTTGCGTGTTTCGAAAATTCCGAAGTATTCAAACGGATACCGGATATATAACCAAAATCAATTTACGTTGCATGAGGCTTTAGGTCCTGACAAACTTTCTGACGAAAGAAAACTTTTGTCACGCATATTCCGTTTGTAACAATATAACACTGAGCAATTCTGAGCCAAATCCCCTGTTTAACAAGATAGCAGTCGCTACTGTAAACAGATTAACAAGCTATCGATTTAAACTTGTGCATGGTTAACAAGTTGCTATTAGGTCCCAAGGGCCACAGTATCCATTTTGAGGAAAATTGTTTATCTATGATTTTGTTGATTTTTGAAAGTAACAGTATTTTAAATTGATCAGGCATAACAGAAGTGGACTTTTTGGAGAAAAAGAAATATGAGGAAAGCCAGAAGATATTCCTACAACTACATCCGATCGAAAATCAAAGTAACAGTATTTTAAATTGATCAGCCGAAAAAAAGACACAACAGACGTGTACTTTCTGGAGGAAGAAATATTTTCAGATATATTATGAATGAACAAAATTATACATATAAAGAAACACATTGATAACTCGCATTCTCATTCTGATGAAAATATGAATCCTTTTTCGGTATATATACAACAGAAAACAACCATTTTCCTGGCAATATGCCACGACGAACATTGAATTACGTCTATTGAACACACACAATAAGAATTTGAAAATGAAAATTTTCTGGAGTTAAGTATTCGCATTTCTTTCAAAAAAAAAGTATATGATCCAATAAAAGGGTGTCGATATGTGGGGAGGGGGGGGGGGGGGAGTGTAGGTAACCCCCCCTCATTTAGGGAAAAGGGGTAATTAGTTTGATTCATCATTCGCATTTAGATCTATGTCATTCGGATGACTAATCAGTTATGTCATCCTTTCAACCGATTTACTTCCAAACGAGTACGACTAATTCCGATATCGATAGTAGGTATACGGGATGAGGTGAAAAGATATTGATTCTTCAGTTCACCCTGTATATTCGATTATCATTTCAGGAACATGAATTATAATAAAAAAATCGACCTATAACTTTCTACAAAATGGCGAGTGTTTTTGCAACTCTTTCTAATACATATTTTTAATACCTCTGTACAAAGCGAATTATTTCATCCTAATTTATTGAATATGAAAAAAAAAAGTGTCATCTCTGAACAAAATGGCAAATATTTAAGCAACTTGTTGCATTAACATTCATCTAGTTCCTCTGTACATATAGGTATAGAAAGCGAATTTCATGTTTTCATCGTTATATGGAAACTTCAAACTGAGAAGCTTTTGAAGTTTGCTTTAAATATTCTAAAAATGAATAAAAATGGTAGAAATGTTTACCGTTCACTTATAGACAGAACGAAAATCGGTTTTGAAATTCATTCCGAACGTTATTCCATATTTCCGAGGCGAACTTCAAGCGCTTGTTAGTTTATGAAAAAAAAAGTTTATTGCTAGCTTATTCAGTTCATAAGTTAAAGGGGAAGGGGGACTCTTTATTTATGGCTATCTATAACATGATTTTCTTTCATTACTCAAACCAAAAAGCCATTACCCCTCAAGAAAAAAAATATCGGCTGTAATTTCCGCAATATCTTCATTGACAGTGTTGACCTGGTCGCCGTGAGTTCTTAGTTTCCTGAAATAATGATTCTGGAAAAGAACGCACTGAGAACAGTACTGTCAGCTGCAAAGCTTTGATTAGAGCAGCAGGTTACTCTCAACAGATCATTGATATGAAGTAGGAACAATGTTGGTGCAAAAATGGATCCTGTGAAGAAGTTCTTGGTTACCGAACACGATCGAATATATATCGATATATCTTACACTACCCTCCTCAAGTCTTTCTTATGCAAATTATCATGTATGGGTAATGAAGATGAGTAAATATTCAGTACATCTCTGATGGTGAAATAGATATTTACGTAATCAGTTAGGAAACGCGTTGTTTTGTGTAACGATGAGATTTTGCGGGACGAGCGAAGCGAGATCCCGCAACATCACAGAGTTACACAAAATGGCGTTCCCTAACGTGTCACGTACAATATTTTTTCTAATTTTGACGAAACATTTCGCATGAACAAAAATAATGACCAGTTTTACATGAGTTCTGCCGACTCTTGTTGTGTGAAATGAATGAATGAAATGAACATTACATCACCAGTTATGTAAAATTTTACTTTACGCAACTGGTTACGTAAAGTAAGACGTTTCAAAACTTCCGTCAGTTTTGAAAAGTGTCACATTACATGTCAAAATTAGAAAAACCATATTTTCTATCATTTATGATTCCTGACCTTTGACGTTCCCCATCCTCCATCACTTCGGAAATTACTGAATAATGCTTGTACTATACCAACTAAATTACTTCGTAATCATTAGTGCCCATGTTCATTATGACTCAATCAATCGTAATACATAATTACATATAGTAGGTTTCCGAGCTGACAGTCACGAATGCCTTTAACATGGAGACGAACTATCCCGATTTGGAATAGTTGGATGTTGAATTCCAAACTAATATAGTTGGGAACATCCATAAACCCCTAGCTGCAAAATCGAAGCTCTTGCCTCTCCTATTGATCTGTAATCCTTAGATAACGGCTCAGAAGTGAAACCATATTCGATTATCCCTTGTTCAAGGTATACTCCTCGGTGTTTGACCCGAGATGCTTTTTCCTAAGATATAAATATTTGAACAGCATACGAGGTAGGTCTGAGCGACTCAATATTGAATTTGGATGATGCGGATACGAAAAGTGAGGTGTTTTATGGGATATTTATTCT